CTAAGCCAGTCAGCCATAGAAAAAACTCACATGGGTTCCAAATCCAGCTGGACCTGGATCCAAGGTCTGCTACTCATTAGCTGTGCACAATTAGGCAAACCTCTTAACTTCCAAGTCTTAGTTTCTTTGTCTATAAAATGGGGTGATGATATTGACTAGGTCATTTGTAATCAGACTAGGTTGTTATGTGGATTAAATGAACAGATATACAAAGCACATCCTGTGGTGGTCAAGGCTCCATAAATAGAATGAAAGTAGGCACTGGACACAGGAGGACACGGGTTTGAATCCCAGCTGTGTTCTAGTACAACCTTGGGAGGCTACTAAACCTCAGCTTCCACATCTACAAAACAGGAAAAATCACCATTTACCTCCCAGAGTTTTGCTGTGATTTATGAGATGGGTATGTAAAGCGCTTGGCACATGGATTTGTAAATTTGACAGGTAAATCTGAGTAGTTTTTCTATTATTCCTGTCTACAGTTCTCTGTCTCCCTCCTACCCTCTGTTCTTTCTCCATCTTCTTGTCTAGGACTCCTCAAAGAGCTATTTTTTAAGAATAAATCTACAATAAAATTGACCATGTTAACCATTTTTAGGTGTACCATTCAGTGGCGTTAAGTGCACCAGTGTTGTAACCACTGCCACCATCCATCCATCTCCAGAACTTTTGCATCTTCTCAGACTGAAATTCTCATTAGATAGGAACATCTCATTCCACCTCCCCCCACCATCCAGGCATCCACCATTCTCCTTTCTGTTTCTAGGAATTTGACTACTCTAGGGACCTCACAGAAGTAGAATCCTACAATTTTTGTCCTTTTGTGACTCTTTTATTTCACTTAGAATAATGTCCTCTAGATTCATCTTCAGGTCCCATGGTGGTAGCCTGGGTCAGAATTTCACTCTCTGACCACTGCTTTTTAAGCTCAAGTTCATTTGTTCCTGCCTCCAGTTTAGGTCACCCTCCACCCACCAGAGGGAAATATGGAGACAAGATAAAATACAAGACAGTGACTACAAAGAAAAGAAACATAAAATGTTTCCTTTTTCTGATTGCAAAGGTAATACATGTTTGTTCCTATAGAACATTTGGGGTAACTCCAAATTCTCCTGGAGGCCACATCCCTTCAAGGAAGGATGTGTTTCATGCAAGAAATGGCTCTGTTAAGCTTTGCATCCCATAGGGTGGGGCAGGGCTGAAGAAACAGGCAGCCTCTAACCGATGTTTATTCCAAGCAACACCATTGTATGGCCATAAATCTATATCTGCCCCGGTCACCTATCTTTCTCTGAATCCGAAGTTGAAAACACCTTCCTGCTCTTCTTAGCTGAGTCATAAATCTTTCCTTAATCCTATTCATTAAAAAAAAAAGCTTTCTGGGTTTCGAACCACTCCCTCATGCTAATAAGCTTGGCCAGCCTTGTGCCGCCCCACCTGCCTAGACTCTTGCCGGTTGCGGGTTCCCTGGCTTGGCTCTGGGAGGCTTGCTGTACTCTGGGTATTGGAGTGGTACCCCACCCGGCCCAGCCCCTGTTGCTACCATCCCAAAGATCTGCCATAGTGTTTGTGCGAGTGGAAAACTGGAAGCTACCAAGGCATCAAACACGAGAATGTTAGCTAAATAAATCACACAACATGAGCACGGTACAGAAGAGGGTGGAAGCCAGTACAACCATGTTGAAGAACAAGACATGGAAAGGTGTTCAGAATAATCCCATCGTGTGTGTGTGTGTGTGTGTGTGCACACACACGCGTGCACGCATGTTTGTGTGCATGTCCCTTACCTATAGAATTACTTCACTGTAGAATTACTGTGACTTTTCTTCTGTTTTGGATTTGTCTACATTTTCTACAGAGAACACATTTTACCTTGGATAATCGATTCCTAGGGCTGCTATAACAAATTACTACAAACTTGGTGGCTTAGAATAACAGAACCCTACTCTCTCACAGTTCTGGAGGCCAGAAGTCTGAAATGAGGTTTCAGCAGGGCCATGCTCCCTCCAAAGGCTCTGGGGGAGGTTCCATTCCGCCTCTTCCAGTTTCAAGCAGCTGCCAGCATCCCTTGGCTTGAGTCCACATTGCCCCCAATCTCTGCCTCCTCATCTGTGTGTCTGTCTCTAAATGCCCTCTGCCTCTCTCTCAGAAAGATACATGTGATTGCATTTAGAGCCCACCTGTATAATCCAGAGAAACTCCTCCTCCCAAGATCGTTAACTTAATCATATCTTGTTAACCATATATAACATCATAGTTATAGCTTCTGAGGCTTAGGACATGGTCATATCTTTCAGGCAGCAATCTCTCAGCCCATTACACTTTACGATCAACAAAAAGGAATCTTATGTTTATCTTTTAGATACTCAAGACTTTGTGTATTATTTCAGCCCAACACCCAGTGGTTGGCTAATGATAGCCACAAAGCAAATATTTGTTGAAGGTTGTGAATAAACTGCCCAGAGTAACTATTGTGTTCAGGATGAGAAGTTATAGATGACTTCTTTCCTTTTTATTTTTTCTTTGTTATTTTTTGCTACTACATTTTTCACACACCATTAAAAGGTATTTCCTTCTTGTCTTACCCAGACACAAATATGTGTTCCTCTAAAACTAGGGAGCTAAAAGCTTCCCATCTCCCAATATTATAGGACAAAAGCAGGGATCAGGTTTACTTGGCTTGGGCTACCCCCAAAAGTCTGCGAGTGGAGCACCCTACCCACCTTGGCCCCTGCTGCAACAGTTTCTTTCCTGCGGCCACGTCAAGACAACATGAAGCCACAGACTGACACTCTAAGAAAGGCTCTCTCCTATCATTTTGGCTTCTCCCTTCTGACCCAGGGAACTTTGATGAGAAAGACCCACACACAGAGGCTGGGCGCCTGAGAGGGAGGTGTATTACCAAGTCTTCTACCTGAGAATTCCTTCAGTCCTACACATCCCTCAATCCCATGAGCTAGTAACACTGAACCTCTGCAAGGTCCAGCTCAGGAACAGCAAACAGATGTGCCTATGCTTCACCTGCCACACACACAAAAAAACACTGCCACTAGATTACAGCACTTCTTATACACAGCATCAGGATCCTTTTAAGCACGACTCCTTAGGCAGTCACAGCCAGCAACGCAGTTTGGCATGTAAGATAAAAACCATTTCCCGTTCCTCATTCACCCTGGGTTCAAGGATATTATCTTCACAACAAACGTTTATTGAGCTCCTAGGTGCAATTCCCAAAAAGTACAAAAAAAGATACAAGGCAATGCCCTATAACCTGTGCTAAGGGCTCATTGTGGTGGATGAATGTGTTGGAAAAGTTTCAATACCAATGGAGACCCGTGCAGGCCCCAGGATCACTGGAGGACATGAGGCTAAGGGGACCATTGAAGAAAAAATAACATTTAAATTAGCAGAGGAAAATGGAGAGAAAAATCCAAACTTAAAGGATCTTACATTTTATGGAAGAGCCCATGAGGCTATCCCACATGGTGCCTATGTGTAAATTAGATAAAAGGTCCCCGCTGTGTGGACATGACCCACAGGTGCACAGTTAGACAAGTAGATAACCTTTTTGTGCAAACTGAATAAAAGCATCTTTATGAGAAGATGCAGGCCCTTCCAGGACACCCAGAAGGCAGAGCCCAGGCTGGATGTCTACCTCCTCTACCTTACTGTGCATAGGGATTTGCAATTCAGTGTGGATGCAGGAACGCTACAAAAGGCACAAGGTGATGCCTGGCCCAGCCCTCTATTGCAGTGAGCAACCTGCACAATAACTAAGTGTGTCCTGGAGATGACCAACAAGCAAATCAGTAGATAAGTAAACACAGTTAAGTAATGAAAGAAAACTAATACAAGGCGTCTGTGAGTAAGGAGGCAGCCATACTGCATAATTCCTGCAGGCACCATGGGTGTTGTGCTCTATAGAAATGGTGCCCCCTGGGGTTGAGCAACATGACTACACTGAGGTCAGAAAGACCTCTTTGTGAAGGTGGTAGATCATTTGACACTGGCTGTAAGAGAAGGACAGATATGAGAGAAACATCAAGGCTGGGGGAAGTCAGTATGAAATGGTGGCTGGCTTCATGCAAGGGCTCTGAGGAATGAGTACTAAAACTGACTTCAGGCCTTCAAGCCTGAGGAACTAGGGAAATAATGGTGCCACTCAGTTCTGCCCAGTTTACTGAGCCCGTCATGACTGTGTGGTACAGGGACCACGCCAGCGAAAGAGGCACAATCCCTACTCTTGGGGAGTTAACCGTCTCCCTTAGAATTTCCCACCATGCTGTCTGGTGGTTTGTAAATGAGAGTTACTAGAAGGAGTTGCTCAAATAAGTTTGGCAAATGCTCGGGTAAGCAAAATTAAACAGATTTCTTTACTGGAAGACATCTCAGAATTTCAATAGGCTGACATACTTTGTGAATCACAAGAATGAAATACAGATGGCACCCTGTCCTAATTTAGCAGGCCAGGGACATTTTTCTTCATACATATTTCAGGAGACTAGTGTCAACCTCCCCCACGCTACCCTGGGAGTGGGGAGCTGTGCTCTAGACAGTGCCAAACAGGTCAGAATAGAAAGCAGAGTCACATAGGAGTTAGGGAGCAGGCAGAGCTGGCAGGCGTAAGGGGGCGCCACAGGGGCCAGGAGGCTGCACTGTGCTGGGTACCACAGCTGCCGTGGGGCAGACCTGCCTATGGCTGTCCCCACAGGCCTGGCTTCACCCAAGCTCCCCTGGTAACCTCTGAGTCACCCCCCTCAGGGCCAAGTTTAACCTCTGACTGACTGGTTAAAGTGGTTGTCTGACCTCCCTGGGCCTCCACTTAGCCTCCTATAAAATGGGATAAAAATATTGCCCTCCCTCTCCTGGGTGGCACGAGGCCCTGATAATTACCATCCGGCAGGATGCTGAGGTGCTGACAACTCTGCCTGACACATTTCCCCTTGGCTCCTCCAGATGCCGCACATCACCTCCACAGCAGGCCACGGACCCACCGGCCGCCCCTGCAGAGCGCACGGGCCTCCGCAACCTCCAGCTGGTGAGCAGGTGTCTCTCTGTGGGCACCTGTCCCTCTTTTGCAGCTACCGTCAAAACAAGAGACTCGCCTAACCTTCTGCGAACACCTGGGCATTGTGGAGGTGGGAGACTCACCTACCGGCGGCCATTCCGGGACCCTGCTGCCACCGGAGAGCTGCTTGGGGCTGGGAAACCCCAAGGAGGTGTCGCCTGCCTGGGGGCAGCCATGCGGTGCCTTTCCCCCTGAGGAAGAGGGGCCCCCCCAACCAGGGCCTTCTGCGGACAGGGCGATGACAACACTGGAGGACCCGAGCGCTCTCCCGCCCGGCGGGGCGAGTGAGCTGAGGTGGGTGCTGCGTGTCCCGGGGCACCGGGAGAAGAAAGGGCACCTGGTGGGGAGGAAACGCTGGCATCCACTGGGCAGAGCTGGACTTGCCCCAGTCCTTCCACCAGGGAGGAAAAGAGGGTGTCTTCGTTCAAGTACTCAGGAAGCCTTGAGGCTCCTATTTATATACATTGTAGCTTTGAACCAGCCCCCATCACCACTCCTAAGGGGTAGGACGAGCCTCTCTAGGAAGCATGATGGTCTTTTGCAGCTGCTTTCCCCCCTCTAGTCTACCTGTAAGATTCATTTGCACCCAATTTCACCCAGATAGGGAATGTTGCACAGTCAGAGAAGCAGCACTTGGCCCCCTCGAGTCTAGGCTGGAGTTCCTTGGAACAGCTCTGCAGGGGATAATGTTTAGTTCCAAGCAGAAGGATGGGAAAGGAGCAAGTTTTGGGGTCTCCCTAAATGACTCTCAAATGCCAGTGTGCTCGCCTGCAGAATGGGACCACAGTAATGTTGCTCTTTAGCTGGCTAGTGTCAGGATTCATTACCGTGCATTTTCCTGTGATCTGGTTAATTTGATGCACACTTTGTTTATTTGTCCCAATATACCTTCTGCTTAGCCCAAAAGCATCCCATCAGATAATGGGCTTCGGATGCCATCCTGGGCTAAATTCTGCTGCTATAAAATGCCCAAGAAAGCTGAGACCCATGTGGCTGTCAGCCTGCCTCTCCAGGTCCACTGGCATTTAAAATCAAGATCTCTAAATTCCTGGAAATCGGGATGGGGGTGTGGTGCTGGTCCCAGGGAAGGGAGTAGATTAGAGAATGACATTAGGGGCCTGTCGAGCTTAGTTTCCGACCCCTGCCTTCTTTAAAAGCCATCCCTGGCTGTAGCCCTAGCATGTTACCAAGTGACTTGTCAATGTCAGGAGAGCCACACAAAGAATCTTCAGCATGTTATTAACCTCATTCCAACATGTAATTAGCCTCAAAGGCCTCCTCACTGCCTCCATTCCGCGTTACATCATAAGGAATCAGGTATTTTACTATTTGCAGGACACGGTGGTGACTTTAAAGAGTTAATTATGGCTCACTGGAGCCCATCCCCGGGAGCCCAAGATCAGGGAATTAAACTGTTTATATTTAAGTGTCAATCTTCAAGACAGCATTCAGAGCCACTTCCTCTGATGGGATCTGAGAGTGACATTGATTTGAACGTAGATCCAGCAGGGTACACCGTGGTAGGTTAGAGAAGGTGATTTGACTTAGGCCTTCCTCCTAGTTTGGGCCATGTGTTTTCAGAGATATCATCTGTGCAGCGACGGACAGAAAAGAGAACCAAGGAGAGACAGAATTCTGCTTTACCCTCCTGGTTCCATTGCGGGGAATCCAGCTAAAGCCATTTGTAATCCCTGGGCTGGGGAGACCAGCAGTGTAGCCAGAGTTCAAAGGGAGTTCAGCCCTAATCTGCATGTTACAATCTGATCCAGTCTAACCATGCAGGCTCTGAGCACATTATTATCAGTCAAGTGTAATTATAGATAAAATAGTTTTATTAATCAGCGTCCTAAGGGGACTGTGTTTATCTGATGGCTGTATGTATAATGTGTGCATGGTGGGGGCCTGGGGGAAATGTGCTGTGTGTGGTTGGTCTATGGGGAAGACAGGATGTCTGGGAGGGGAACATGGTAGATAGGAGGGAGTGTGACTGGGAGGGGTGTCTAGATGTTATGTGGGCTCTGTATATGCATGCAGGATGGGAGTACGTGTGGCAACATTGATGGCCAGCGTGTGTGTGTGTTTGCTCAGGTTTATACAACTGGACTTGAAATTTTGCCTATTTCTCTACCATGCTTTAGATTTATCAAAACTCTTTTTCCCCAATATAGACTTTTCCCTATGTACTTAGATGGAGTTTACAGAACTCTCATTTGCAGATACCACCTGCAGGTGCCTTATTTAGCAGCTAATTGACAAATTTTCAGATCTCATCTCCAAACCTATCGTGGATTGTTTTAAATTGTCTATCACCTTAAACCATCTCATCAATTTCAAGGGGCCCTGAAACAGTACTACCCCTCCTGAGTATTGTTTGGCCTGACCGGAGGTCAACTCTACTCACCTGTGGGCAGGAGACATGAACTTCTTCAGGCTCAGAGACTAAAGGTGTCCTGCATCAAGCTTCCAGTTCCGATGGAAGCTTGGTTAAACAGCAGTGGTCAGAGGGTGTCAGGTAACATTCCAAGGCTAGGTTCCCCCCACAGTGTGCGGTGACCAGCTGCCCAGAGACTGGAACAGGTGCAGAGTCAGCCTGGCCATCTCTGCCTATCCCCTGAGTCTACCCACAGCATTAGACCCCTGTACTGGGCCTCCCGCAGCACAGCATGTCTGCAGGCCGATTGTGCAGCTCATTGCTTGCTTTGGCTAGAACTCTTGACTCCATTTGACTGTATCCTCCCTTGGAAGGCCTTGTGCAAAATCTTCCCTCTGCCTTAATGCTGAGGATCCACCTGAACTTTGCCCTGTGACAGCTGCAGCCCAGGGTGGCTATAACTCTACAGCCCGAAAGCCCAAGCAGCCATTCCCTTCCCATAGAGGCAGGTGGCATCCATTCTCCTATGGGCATTGCAGAAAGGTGAACTCACCAAGGCTCTGCCCACCAGGCTTGCATAGAAAGGTGTGAAGTGAGCCACCTGGCATCTTTGCAGCCATGTGGCCGATTTATTGGCCTCTCTATAAAGTGAGATGTTGAGATTCCTGTAGCTTCTTTGCTCCCAGAAGGGCACATTGGAGCTCAGAAAAAAAATGTTTGGATGAGGGAATAAACTCTTAAAAAAATATTGCTCCATTTAAGATAATTAAGAACTGTTGGGAAAATATGGTGGTCTGTTCCTGATTCCCAAGCTTGATAAACTTTTGATGGATACCAGCTATGAGACTGAAAATGAGCAAATGGATGGATGAATATCTACTCTGTGCCAGCTGCATATGCCTGTATTATTCCAGTTAATCTAATGAGTGGCTAATATTATTCTCATGTTGCTGATTAGGAAACTGAGGCTTGGATAAGTTGAATAATAATGATAATAATTAGGAGAAGTAGAGTAGGAATGGTATAACCATCATTTATTGAGTGTTTAATACATGCTAGGCATTGAGCTAAGTACTTCCTATACTACATGATCTTGTTTAGTCCTCACTGAAATACTATGAAGTAACAAGTTATTTATCTAGGCTTCTAGGAGAGGAAACCATGATTCAAGGAGATAAGTAAATAGGTCCCAAGTGATAGCACTGAGATTTGAACCCATATCTATCAGACGCAAAACCCAGTGTCCTTTCTAGTACTGGCTTTTCCTTAGCTACCTTCTCCTCTGACTTTAGCTCTTAGCAACACCACGGTTATCTGTATAGTTACTGCATCACCTGAAAATGCTCAGCCAAGTCCCATATCTCATTGGTTCTTTGGAACCAAAGGAATACCTGTCAACTCCAAATGGAACTGAATCTGCTTCTGCTTTCACACATTGAGAAGGAATTAAAGCATCATTTCATGAAAAGAGATGCAGGTTAGCATGATGTCCAGGACCAAAGAAGATACCTGTCCTCACTTTAACTCTAACAGTTCAGCAATAACTTCCCAAAATGTGGACCCTGGACATGCATCTTGGGGAGTGACAAATTCCTCATTGGAACCTCCTCAAGTCTGCAAGTCCAAGGGACAGATGAGTTAGCATTGATATGAACCTCTTTGTGAGGCTGGGCAGCTTCCCAAGTTTGAGGGCTCTCCCCTCAGATTTATAAGTATCCGTTAGGCTATGGTGACAAACTCTGTAATAAAGCAATAAATCAGGACAGCTTATAATAGTGATAAACTGAAATTCTGTAAAAAGCACAATGCCTAAGTTCTTAACACAATTCTATGTTTACAACCAAGACTATTTCTCTCAATGAGTTCCTGAACATAACCAAACTCAGGAAACTCAGTGTGTGATTTGGACCTTTGTACTTTTCAAGGGCAGGTTAAACTGTGGAAGATAGTGAACGATGGCAAGGAAACAACAAAGAAAAGAGTATTAGTTTGGAACTGGTGGGAAAAGAAAAGCCAGCAGGAACTTCCCTATGAAATAGCAGCAAAATCCTGGGAAAAAAATACATGAGTGAAGAACAAGAAAAAATCAAATTTTTAACCAAGGCTCATTGCCAACCTGTGCAAATTTGCTCCTGAAGAGCAAAGATTTGAGGCCTCAAAAGCAAAGTTCATCAACTGGCCAGACACCACACACACACACACACACACACACACACACTGTTCATAGTGGCTCATACCCCAAACTGGTCAGACACCACACACACACACACACACACATACACACTGTTCATAGTGGCTGATATCCCAAACTCCACAACTCACAATTCCAAGGCTGCCATGTGGTTGCATGTGTAAGACATGAGCCAACATTCATGAGCAGTCTTGGGCTGCACCATGCTCGTTCTCTCCTCCCACACATGGTCAGGTTCCCTCCTGTTTGAAGGATCCTCTCCTCCCAGTCATCCAAACATTGCAAAGCCTCCTGAGCGATGGACTGGGCTTCAAGTCTGGAAATCCTAGGACTGAATCCTGGCTCTGCTACTTGTTAATTGTGTGACCTGGACAAATTGTAGAAGCTCTCTGAGACTCAGTTTTCCCTTCTGTAAAACAGGGGTAATAACAGTCCCTACTTCACAATTTGTTGTGCATGGCACATAATAAGCAACCGTTTTTAGAAAATCAGTCCAGTTTTGCATGGCCCAGCTCAAATGCTCACAAGAAGCTTTTTCTAATTGTTTCAGTGCTTAGTCACCTTGGTCCCTCCAAGTCCCACAATCCCTAACTCAGACTTGGACTTGAAATTCTATGCTCCCTCTAAATCCTTCCTCATGATTTCTCTGTTTGAGTGTCTCTTACTTGAAGGTCACAGCTAGGCCTTACTATTTTTTATATTGCTGACAATCCTGGCCTATCATATATATTT